CCCCCCCCCCGGCCCGATGGCCGGCAGTCTGGTTCATCTCGGTCTTCGGTATCGGCCTCCTCCTGGCCCTGCTTTTCTTCCGGATGTTCCGCGTGCGTTGGAAGCCGCATCTCCGATGCACCTCTCCCTGTGCATCCTCGATTGTTCCTTTTTTTTTCCCCCCCTCCTTTCTCACCTCCCCTCCGTCCGGCCGTAGCTTTTCCTGATCTATCGCTACCGGCGCTCCGGTGGCATCCTTCTCCTCTACTTTGGCGTCTTCCTCTTTTGGATGCCGCACATCATCCTGGCCGTCACTTCCAGCGCCCTGCGCATCCAGGGGCCGATTGTCCTCGTGCGTGCTGTCCTCCGGGCCTGCCTCCGCCACGCCCATGCAGTGTCTATTGTCTTGCTCGCTCGGATGGCCGAGCCGCATCCTGCTCCTGACCTGAAAAGCACATCCTCTTCCGCGCGCTGCCTCTCCCTCATTCTTCCTCCCTCTGGCCCATGCAGAACGGCGTGGTCGGCTGCTTCGACATTTCCCCCGTCCCGATGTTCCTCTCGGCCATGGTCACCACCTTCAATTGCATCGTCCTGTTTGTGCGTCTGCCGCCTGCCTCCCCGCCGACGGGGCTGCTTCATTCTCGGCCCGTGGCATGACCTAACTCTCCCCTCCTCCCCCTGCATCCATCCTCGGCTCCTCCCTCGCACAGATCTTCTCCATCCTCAATCGCCGGCGCATTCGCCAAAAGTACCTCAATGAGTACCGTCTCGTCCGATGGCAATCCATTGTCACCGCCATCTTCTACATCCTGCTGGTGGGGCTGCATGTTGGCAAGGTGGCTTTCGTCCACAAGCACGGCTACGCCGTGTCTCTGGTCCCGGTGGCCATGGTGTCCATCCTCTTCTGGGGCATTGTCGGGCCGCCTTTCTACAATTTGTGCGCATTCAGTCCTCCCTCCCCTTTCCTCCAGCCCAATCTCCCTGCCTGCCCTTGGTCTCTCTCCCTCTCTCTCTCTCTGTGTGTGTGGCCTTTCCTTTGCCCCCTTCCCCTGGTGGCATTGTCCCATGCTCTGTGCCCCCATGCAAAGTACTAATCCCTCCCTGGGCCTTCCCCTGCCTTGTGCCCGGATCACACGCGCCAGCATCTTCCATCGTGAGGCCTATCTGCTGGCCTTCCATGAAACTTTCCAGTTCAAGTTTGAGCCGTACTCGCTCAATTCCTCCTCGACCGACAACCGGTCCAGCTCGACCGCCGGCGGTCCTGGCTCCCCCGAGAGCTATGAGCTGGCCACCCACCAGAGCACCACTTGTGAGGAGGATCTCTTCCACATCGAGAAGGCCGACATCGCCGCGGCCAATGCAAAGGCCGCCGCCGGGGTGGCGGTTGTGGCAGGCCCGGCCATTTTCGTGCGCTCCATCAGCCTGGACTCTTTCGAGGTGAATCGCGAGGGCTTCACCCCGGCGGCCACGACCGGCACCGGTGGAGTGGGCCGCGTTTCCGGCATCCCGGCCTCTCCCCGAACCTCCATGCTCTTCCAGACCGACCCGACGCTGGACCCGCGCGTGAGCTTCAACAGCAGCGGCAGCAGCAGTGCCAGCAGCAGTAGCGGCAGCCACCCCGCTGCCATGGGCGCCCTCCATGGGGAGGGGAGATCTGCCCCATCCCCTTCGCATGCCGTCACCACCGGCCCCCCCTTCGCCGGTCCCGACGCAGGGCCGACCCCGGTCTCGGCATCATCCGGCCCCGACTCCCGGACACAAGTGCTCGCCCAGGACTCGGCCGTACCGACGGTGACCCTCGCCGGTGGCCACACCCCGCCCCCCGCCGGGCCATCGCCCTCCCTGGCTGGCCAGCCCTTCGGTGAGGGCCCCCTCACGGGGAGCGGTGGCACTCTGCTGTTGTCCGGCCAGGAGTCCGGCGAGGAGTCCGCCAAGGAGTCCGCGGGGGAATTCACCTCGGAGGAGGACCTGTCCGAAAAGGAGCATGCCCCCGAGCACCCGGACCCCGGGGAGGCGTCCATGTCCTCGGATGCCAGTGCCTCGGACTCCTCTTCCCCGCCATCGCGCGCGTCCAGCCGCTCCTCGGAGTCGGATGATGCTCTTCCCCCGCTCGGGGGTCCGAATGACGACGACACTTCTTCGGATGAGTGATTAGCCATGCGCTCGCCGTGGCGGCCCCGCTCCCCCCCCCCTGCCACGTCCGCCCCTCGCCTCTCCCCTCGCCCCTTCGGCCTTGCAATTTTCTTGCCCTTGTTGGTGCTGGCACCCGCCCCCCCCCCCTTGTCCACATTTTTCCCCCGACCTTCGAGCCTGCGGCAGCTGAGTGGGCATTGTCATTTTTCTCCCCTCCCCCCATGTAGCCCTTCAGTCTGTCTGTCTGCCCGTCCGTCCGTCCGTCCGTCTCTCTCTCTCTCTCTCCCTCCCATGCGCCTCGTAGGTATACGGGATACTGCGCTTCACATTAGTCGGCTGCCTCGCTGTGTCTCGTCCAGCCATGATGACCCTCCCAGGTCGCTGCTCTCCCGCTCTATCTCCCCCCTTCCCTCTTCCTCTCATCCCGCCCGTGCCTCCTTGGACGCAGCAGAGTGCAGAAGCTTTCCCCCCCTCTCCCTCGCCCGCCTCCCGCCCGCAAGCACCAGCCTTCCCTTTCGATCGGGGGAGGCGGAGCGTGTGTGTGTGTGTGTGTGTGTGTATGTGTATTTGCTTCTCCCTTCCAGTGAAACTGGGAAAATACACGTCTCCTGTGTTTTGTTAGCTGCGCCATGTCGAATCCTGACGGCCTGGCGAATGTTCATTCTTCCTCCCGCGAAAGGGACCATGGCGGAGAGTGGACCCGAGCACCCGCGTTTGGGCCACTTCCACAGGTGCACATGCACTCTGACATGATACATCGACCAAGCACATGGCCAAACGAGCAGAGGACTCACGGGCCCGGTCGGGCAGCGGGACAGGAGAAAGGAAGAGACGGGGAAAGACGCGCGCGTGCATGCGCCGAGCGAGCCGAACCCGAGGGAGGCGCACACAGCCCAACGGGGAGCCACATCGGAGGGGAGGCCGGGGCAGGCTCGCGCGCCTAATGGCCGCCCGCCAGGGCGCCCTCCGATGCGACGAGGACTTGGCGCGCGGCCGCAGACACCCGCTGGCGCCCTGGCAGCTCCACCCCCGGGGCAGACGCCTGGTGGTGTGCCAGCTGGCTCACCCGATCAATCCAGCCCAGTCCGCAGACCCCCTCCTCGGGGTCAGTTGGGCCCGGGGCCAGGCCCGTCAGCACGGCCATCGCCCGGAGGGCGGTCTCCCCGGCGGAGATGGCCTGCAACTGGCCGGGCTGCAGCTGGCCGGCCGGTGTGTCGAGAATCTCATCGGCTGGGATCAGGGTCAAGCAGGCGTCCGCCAGACTTCCGGCCAGGGCCGCGCGCTTGGCATTGGATGGCATGTATGCGACAAAGCGGGCAGCGCTACCGGGCCAGACCCATCGGTGAGTTGACATGAAAATGGCGACCTCAAAAGGGGCAAGAGGCAAGGGGGGCGGGGGGCGGGGGGCGGGGGGCGGATGTAGGAACCCCCCCCCCCATAAGCAACATACTTCAAGCAGAGGGCCGCAAAGGACCCGGCGCCGGCCGGAGTAGCGACCACCTGCTCCGGCAGGCGGGAAATACACTCATAGAAGAGATCCTGTGGGCGAGAGGGAGGGAGAGGAGCGTGTGTGTGTGTGTGTGGTGGGGGGGGGGGGGACAAAGCATTGTCAGCATCTCCCCACAAGAGAAGCAGTGCCACAGGAGCGGAGGCATACCGAAGTCAGTTGCGACGCCACGGCCGTGCCGGTGGCCGGGTCCGCGGTGCCCAGGACATTGACCAGCGCTCGGCAGCCCATGATGGCACAGCGCATCCGGTCGCCCGGGGAGATGCCATTCTCGGCCGCATGCGCCGGCGACTTGTTCAGCAGGCTGCAGGTGACCAGCGCATCGACCAGGGCATCCGGGATGCCGGAAGACTGCCACACCGCCGGGAGCTGCGTGTTGCGCGCCGAGATGAGGGAGATCAGGTCAAGGACTATCGAGTCGGGGAGATCCAGAAGGGCGTTTGTGTGCGTGTGTGAGGGGGAGAGAGGGAGAGGGAGACGAAGCGGTCAGGCAACGGGCACGCGGATGGAGGAGGAGGAGGCAGGAAGGGGCGTGCACAGGCAGGAGAACGCACCGCCGAATACCACACCCGGCGGGGCATGCAGCAGAGCCTTGTAGATGCAGAACAGGACCGACTGCGTCAGCTGGAAGGATGTGCTGCTATCGAGCGGACCCTCGAGCGAGGCGATCAGCGTCAGCTCCTCATACGTCATCGAATCCTATGGAGGGGCGCACGACATCATGGGGGCAGGGGACACGGAGCAGGGCAAGGTCAGATTGAGGGCAATCCCCGGCGGCGAGAGAGGGCACCGGCCACTGGGCGCACATCGGGAGACGAGCTGGCCTGCCAGGCGCGAATGGTGTCGATGGCGCGCTTGGCACTCGACTGGGCCAGGAGAACCGGCTCCTGGAGCGGGGCGCAACGTCGGGTTTTGATATGGGGGGGGGGGGAGGGCAACACAGGTCAGATCGGGGAGAATGGCAAGGGCCGGGAAGCTAAAGGCCGTGGATGGGACAGCCGGGACAACGCACCGGCAGGGACTTCTTGACCGGCTTGGCCGTGGCCGCGGCCGGGCCCGGGGCATCCGGCACATAGCGCCCGGCGCCGGTCAGCGGGTCGGCCGAGGCGGCGGCCCCCCCATGGCCGAAGGACGCCGAGGGAGTCGAATCCATGGACGGCCGATAGCGCCCGGCACCGGTATACGGGTCGGAGTAGGCATTGGAGCTGCTCTCGGAGGAGAGTGCCTCGCGCGCGCCGGTGGCATTGTTCAGGATGAACTGGACCACCTGCTCGAGGTACGACTGCGGGAGGAGATGGGTGTCGAGGAAACGCTGTGCGGCCATGTACGGGCAGTCTGCCATGGCCATCCGCCGGAGGTCTGTGTGAATGCCAAGATACAAAGGAGAAGAAGGAACAACGCCATGCGCGTGCGCGCACCACCCAGGTTGTAGGGGAGCTTCTTGGGCGGGGCATCGTCCTCGGCGTCGACGTCGAAGACGAAGTCGTACAGCTGCCCTTCGAAGGGGACCTTGCTGGTTGAAGCGCCACCGGCCCCTCCGGACTCACCCGCATCCACTCGACCGATGTTCAGCCACTTGGACTGGTGGTTGATCCACTGGGCGCCCGTGGGGATTTGTCCGTGTGAAGAGCCAGGAAATCACCAGCAAGCCCGGCGATATGGCCGTGTGTGTGTGTGTGTGTGTGTGTGTGTGTGTGTGTGTGTGTGTGTGTGTGTGCGTGCGTGCGCTGGTTAGTCGTGCGTACATGGGCAGGCAGAGGGCGCCGCCAAAAGGGGACAGTACCTGATAGGCATGCGTGTTCTCGGGGTTCGCGGGATCGCGCACAAAGCGCACGCAGTCGGGCCCGGTCGCGGACGGGAGCTGCTCCACCGAGGCAGCAGCCCCATCGGTCGAGCCGTACAGGCCGCTACCCGGATTCCGGCGAGAGGAAACCACGGCGCACATGCACATTCATGGGGAACACATGTCAGGGGCAGGTATGGCGAAGCAGGCACGCGCATGGGACAGGACACACCGAGGAACGGCCGAGATCGACAGGGCACTTTCGTATTTTTCCTGGCTCGAGGTCCCGACAGCCGGCGCCTCGGAGGAGAACACCCGCACACAGAGGTCGCTGCCGGCGGCCGCCAGCAGGAGCGGCTTCTCGCCGGTCACCGCCGGCGGTCCGGCCAGCGCGACGCACGCCCACACCGACAGCCCCGGCAGCGGAATGGCCTGCGTCTGTCGCAGGGAGAGAGCCCCGCCAGTGCGGGCAAGCTTCCACACCCGCACGGTCCGGTCCTCGCCGGACGAGGCCAGCACCATGTGGTCCGGGGTCACTCGCAGCACCGTCGTCGAGTAGATCAGCGACAAGGGGCGCTGGTTTTCCGGCGCAGGGGTGCCCACGGGCGAGCTGACCACCGGCGTCGGGCTGAACGTCGGGCCGACCCACACATGCAGCTGGCTGAGGCGTGACCATGAGGGATGTTAGCATGCCTGAAGAGTGCCAGGGAGGCGGCCTCCCCTCGCCCCACGCCTCCCAGCAGGTCTGACACAGGAGGCCCAATGCCCAAAGGAGGGGCCACAGAGAGACGAACCCATCATTGCTGGCCGATACAAAGGCCGGGCCCGGGCCGAGCACCGAGCCACCCGGCAGCTTGGAAAGGCCGCGGATGCAGTCCTGATGCACGCCCTCCAGGCTGTACTTCACCTGGCCAGTCTCCAGACTCCAGGCGTAGATGTTCCGGTCGCCGCCGCCTGGAGGGGGAGAAAGAAGGACAGCGAGCAAAATGAAAATGCCAGTGTCAGAGCCAGGTGGTGGTAGTGATGGAAGAGGAAAAGCGCCTTCGGCCAGGTGTTCCCCCCCGCCCCGTTCACGCCGTGACCCTTCGTCTGGTGGGGGTCTTTGCCGCGGCCAACCAGCCGGCAGTGTGCGTGTATGCGTACAGGTGACCACGGTGTCCTCCTCGGGGAAGATGAGCGCCCCCCACACGGCCATGGTATGCGGCTCGCCCAGGACGAAAAGCGACACGCCGGTGGTCATATCCCAAATCTGACGAGATCCGTTTGGTGGGGCGTGTGCATGTGTGTTAGCAGGAAAGGCGCAGCTCGGGAGGCTGGTCACATGCAAGATGATGGCAGACAAAGGGGGGGGGGGGGGAGGGGAGCGAGGGAGGACAAGAGAGACCGGGCTCCCAGAAAAAGAAAACCACGCACCCGGGCAGTCTCATCCCAGGACGTTGAGACCAGCCAGGCCCGATCGCCGGATTCGGACACCGCGGCAGAAAGCGAGCACACATTCGAGGTGTGCCCACGCAGGCGCCAAGTGGGCGAGCAGGCATCCCCACTGGCGCCGGGCTGCAGCAGGCCCACGTCGTACACGAGAATCTCGTTGTCAATGCCGGCCGTGGCAAGCAGACCTGCATTTGCCCGCCCCACCAGGTAGCGTGCTGTTAGTGCATTGGCGCGGCCGGCTACGATGGGCCGAAGGCAGGGGGGGGGGGGGAGGACCAGGCCGAGGCGAAGAGAAGAAAGGGGCGGGCGGGGAGGGGGGGAGGGACACGGGAAGATCATACCCTCGGGGAACTGCTGCGAGGGGGGCACCACGGCGACTGCATTGACAAAGCGCGTGTGGTGGCGCAAAATGACCGGATCCTCCGTGGTGTCGGTCATGTTGGGCTCGGCGCCGGCGAGCGAGCAGGCCTTGGGCCAGATGCGCACCGAGGCGTCGCGCGAGCCGGACACAAGGCGTCCATCCGGCAGGACGGCCAGGGATTTGATCTGCGCAGGGGGTCG